GTCATTTGTGAGCCGCGGTCAAGCCAGCCGCCTCTTATCCGCCGCACAAATTTCCTTGCGCTTTTACACCAGTCTTCACGGTAGCGCCTGTTCGCTTTATGTGCCGATTGAAAGCCTATACCCGCGCACACGTGCGCGAACGCGAGCACGTGCGCACACAAATTACAATGAAACAGCCCGATACAGTCAATACAATTATGGAAATGTCAGAAATTCATTAAAAATCATCAAGTTGAGGTCCAACTTTCAACAGATTCTTTCTCTGGGACACCTACTGTACCTGTGTGCCAAGTTTCAGCCAGATTTACTGTAAAATTCCTCAGAAATTAAAGGAAACTTATATTCAACGCAATCAGCCAATACAATAGAATTATTGTCAATTTTCAAAAATTCATTAAAAATCATCCTGAGTAGTTGAGGTCCAACTTTCTACACATCCCTCCTCTGGGACACCTACTGTACCTGTGTGCCAAGTTTCAGCCAGATTTACTGTAGAATTTCTCAGAAATTAAAGGGTACTTGTATCCAATGCAGTCAGCCAATACAATATAATTATGTCAATTTTCAAAAATTCATGAAAAATCACCCTGAGTAGTTGAGGTCCAACTTTCAACACATCCCTCCTCTGGGACACCTACTGTACCTGTGTGCCAAGTTTCATCCAGATTTACTGTAGAATTCCTCAAAAATTAAAGGAAACTTATATTCAATTCAATACAGTCAATACAATAGAATTATGTCAATTTTCAAAAATTCATTAAAAATCATCCTGAGTAGTTGAGGTCCAACTTTCAACACATCCCTCCTCTGGGACACCTACTATACCTGTGTACCAAGTTTCAGCCAGATTTACTGTAGAATTTCTCAGAAATTAAAGGGTACTTGTATCCAATGCAGTCAGCCAATACAATATAATTATGTCAATTTTCAAAAATTCATGAAAAATCATCCTGAGTAGTTGAGGTCCAACTTCCAACAGATTCCTTCTCTGGGACACCTACTGTACCTGTGTGCCAGGTTTAATCTCAATCTGCTGCATCAATAATTGTTTAATATTGATGGATCAAAAGTGCTGCTGAGAGAGTCATGACAGTGACTATAAAGAGACAGCATATTTGCTTTTCTTCACTGACTCGCTCTGAAATCCAGATTTTAATTTTGGAATATTAGGTGTACTTGTGGTTCCTATAGAAGTTTAAGGTTGAACGGTAATCAGAGTCTTCATCTCTTAGGCCTCTCTTCTGTGGATGCAGCTCACATCATTCTGTACAATACGATCATTTTTAATTCTACAACTGTTTATAACCTGCATAGTTCACATTTCTGTATAGCTGTATATCTCATATTCTGTATAGTTTTTTATATTTATATCCTGTTCATAGCGTGTAAATAGTTTGTACTCACTACAGCCTGTAACTATACTTATAGTTATAGCATATTCATAACATACCTTCATACCGTGTACATTGTAACATACCATAATAGACCCATTTCTGTAATATACTTACATACCTATATTATTGCTAATATATATTCTAATATATCTATATCATGGCTAAAGCACTTCTGGATGGATCCAAACTGCATTTTCTTGCCTTGTACCTGTGACATGTGCAATGACAATAAAGTTGAATTCTATTCTATTCTAAATTAATTCAGAAGACAAACACCCGTCTCTGCTTTTGAGATTAGCATTAACACCTTCAGTTTTGACAAATAATACAGTTATAGTGGATCAGGTGCCCCTGAATCTTCCCTTATTTGTGCTGCAATAAGCCTAGGCTCTTGCGGGCTTCCAATCATGTATGAATTTTTTCCTTCTTTGCTCGTTCTGTGTTTATACACCTCTCTGCATTTAATCATTAGTTAGTATGCATCTCTTGCACAGTGTATATGTTTTCCTGTCTCCTTTTCATCAACCTCAGCCAGTCACAGTAGATGGCTGTCTCTCCTTGAGCCTGTTTCTGCCAGATGTTTCTACCTCTTCAAATGGAGATTTTCCTTCCCACTCACACTAAATGTTAGCTCATATGGGGTACTTAAATTGTTGGGGTTTTCTTTGTATTATTGTTGTGTTTTTACCCAGCAACATAAAGTGTCTTTAGGTAACTGTTGTTGTGATTTGGCACTGTACAGGGAGTGCAGAATTATTAGGCAAATGAGTATTTTGTCCACATCATCCTCTTCATGCATGTTGTCTTACTCCAAGCTGTATAGGCTTGAAAGCCTACTACCAACTAAGCATATTAGGTGATGTGCATCTCTGTAATAAGAAGGGGTGTGGTCTAATGACATCAACACCCTATATCAGGTGTGCATAATTATTAGGCAACGTCCTTTCCTTTGGCAAAACGGGTCAAAAGAAGGACTTGACGGGCTCAGAAAAGTCAAAAATAGTGAGATATCTTGCAGAGGGATGCAGCAGTCTCAAAATTGCAAAGCTTCTGATGCGTGATCATCGAACAATCAAGCGTTTCATTCAAAACAGGGTCGCAAGAAGCGTGTGGAAAAACCAAGGCGCAAAATAACTGCCCATGAACTGAGAAAAGTCAAGCGTGCAGCTGCCAAGATGCCACTTGCCACCAGTTTGGCCATATTTCAGAGCTGCAACATCACTGGAGTGCCCAAAAGCACAAGGTGTGCAATACTCAGAGACATGGCCAAGGTAAGAAAGGCTGAAAGACGACCACCACTGAACAAGACACACAAGCTGAAACGTCAAGACTGGGCCAAGAAATATCTCAAGACTGGTTTTTCTAAGGTTTTATGGACTGATGAAATGAGAGTGAGTCTTGATGGGCCAGATGGATGGGCCCGTGGCTGGATTGGTAAAGGGCAGAGAGCTCCAGTCCGACTCAGACGCCAGCAAGGTGGAGGTGGAGTACTGGTTTGGGCTGGTATCATCAAAGATGAGCTTGTGGGGCCTTTTCGGGTTGAGGATGGAGTCAAGCTCAACTCCCAGTCCTACTGCCAGTTCCTGGAAGACACCTTCTTCAAGCAGTGGTACAGGAAGAAGTCTGCATCCTTCAAGAAAAACATGATTTTCATGCAGGACAATGCTCCATCACACGCGTCCAAGTACTTCACAGCGTGGCTGGCAAGAAAGGGTATAAAAGAAGAAAAACTAATGACATGGCCTCCTTGTTCACCTGATCTGAACCCCATTGAGAACCTGTGGTCCATCATCAAATGTGAGATTTACAAGGAGGGAAAACAGTACACCTCTCTGAACAGTGTCTGGGAGGCTGTGGTTTCTGCTGCACGCAATGTTGATGGTGAACAGATCAAAACACTGACAGAATCCATGGATGGCAGGCTTTTGAGTGTCCTTGCAAAGAAAGGTGGCTATATTGGTCGCTGATTTGTTTTTGTTTTGTTTTTGAATGTCAGAAATGTATATTTGTGGATGTGGAGATGTTATATTGGTTTCACTGGTAAAAATAAATAATTGAAATGGGCATATATTTGTTTTTTGTTTAGTTGCCTAATAATTATGCACAGTAATAGTCACCTGCACACACAGATATCCCCCTAAAATAGCTAAAACTAAAAACAAACTAAAAACTACTTCCAAAAACATTCAGCTTTGATATTAATGAGTTTTTTGGGTTCATTGAGAACATGGTTGTTGTTCAAAAATAAAATTATTCCTCAAAAATACAACTTGCCTAATAATTCTGCACTCCCTATATAAATAGAATAGAATAGAATAGAGTACTTCAGACTGGGAGATTGGCAAAATGTATAAATAGGATGGCGATTAGGGGAATTGGAGACAGCTGTGTAACACAGCAGGGATACATTGGGAATAAGAAGACAGTGGACGTAAGACTCAACACAAGAAAGAGACAAGAGGCCACCAAACTAAAACACAGACCTAAGATACACGAGCTTGACACAGACAAAAGCATAAACAGACATGAAGACAAGACTGGCTTTAACACTAGAGTGTTTTCACAAGTCTTCCATCCACTTGTGGAATGCTGAAAAAGAACTACACTTAAAAGTTTACTTATGGAACTGAAAACAAAAGAATACATAATGTAAACATATCATCAAATAATCCAGGACTCACAAACAATGATATGATGAACAGAACTATAAAAAACAAAACTGAGAAATGCTTGGTAAACTGACCAAGGACTATGTCATCATGTCATTTTTTAAATATCATGGTTAATGTGTCCTGATTTGTAGATAGTGCCATCTTACAAATACCAGGAAATCCAACTGGGTGACAAGCCAGAGTTGTCTGCCCACACACACACTGACTAGAAAAAGGGTTGAAACCTCAACTACTCAGGATGATTTTTAATGAATTTTTGAAAATTGACATAATTCTATTGTATTGGCTGTATTGCATTGAATATAAGTTTCCTTTAATTTCTGAGGAATTTTACAGTAAATCTGGCTGAAACTTGGCACACAGGTACAGTAGGTGTCCCAGAGAAAGAATCTGTTGAAAGTTGGACCTCAACTACTCAGGATGACTTTTAATGAATTTTTGAAAATTGACATAATTCTATTGTATTGGCTGATTGCGTTGAATATAAGTTTCCTTTAATTTCTGAGGAATTCTACAGTAAATCTGGCTGAAACTTGGCACACAGGTACAGTAGGTGTCCCAGAGGAGGGATGTGTAGAAAGTTGGACATCAACTACTCAGGGTGATTTTTAATGAATTTTTATACAAAGCGAAAAGGCGCTACCGTAAAGACTGGTGTAAAAGCGCAAGGAAATTTATGCGGCGGATAGGAGGCGGCTGGCTTGCCCGCGGCTCACAAATGACGGCTCACTTTACCGCGGCTTCCTGTCCTGGGGGTTGGTTGTTCTCCTGCCCTGCACCCCATCCTTTTGTTCTTACCCCCTAGCAAGAACATCAAGCAATCACAAACTCTACAGTCTGTCTAACTCCAATGTATAGCAAGCAATCTATTATTTCTCAACAGAGCTAAACTCAACATAAACTGAACCCACATTAAATTTAGCTCGGTGCTTACCTTTAGATGAGCCCACAAACCGAGAGAAACTCCGTGATGAAGCTGGAAGTCTTAAGAAACAGATCAGGGAGCAGAGACCCACGTGGTTCACGCTGATCTGAGCTACGATCCAGGAGACAAGGGTGTGCAGATCGATGCAGAAATTGATCCCAACGTTGGTAGTTGTATATGTTCCTGTAAGTTTACTACTTCACTCCCGTTTCATGGAAAAAGCAGCTCTCTCTGCTCGACTCCTCTCCTGCACACACACTTTGCTCCGCCTCCTTTTCCGGCTCTGCAGTGATTTGTTGCTGTGCGGCCACGTGACTCAGCTGTGCAACGTAACCACGTGGGTGTTATTTAAAATTTCAAAATTAGGGCCTATCTCCTTTTCCCAAACTCTTTTCCTTGGCCTCGAAGAAAACGTCATCGTGGGAAGGAGAATTGCTAAGGACTCAGGGAAAGAGAGGAGCGGTGCTGAGAATTGGAACAGCCTTACACTCGTCTCTCTGTATCAATGTGACACCGGATGTCCGCCTGTTGAAACTACATTGTGCTGAAGATGGACTACAAAACAAATATCTTACTTCGTCACAATGTGTTCTAACCCTGTTGTTTTATGGAAGTCATATAAACGAGAACAGCCTGTTAAAATATCCCTTCATTACAACGTTTGAATGTTAAAGAAAAAGGAACATTTAGGGTCAGATTTACTAACATCTGCAGCAGCTCAAACACGTCTTTTGATCGTTGCTGCTGTATTTACTAAAGAGACTCTTAACTTTTTAAAATTCAGTGACAGAAAGACTGAAGTCATAGCTGGACTTGCCATCGGGCATTTGCCCGGTGGGCCGATGGTTATTTTTCATTTTTCTTTAATGGTATAAACAATGAAAGGTGGTGGATTGGCCAGATGCTGGCCGATGTGTAAAAAAGTTTGGTGCTGATAGTGGCGGAGCTTCCACAGAGGCCAGGAGTTGGATGAGGGAAAGGGGAGGCAGGAGGAGGAGAGATCAATGACGATAGAGCATGTGTCCAAATTCATGGGCTGCATCCTCCTGAGGACCCGGCCTTCGCGGTCTACGTGGGCCGGGTCCTCAGAAGGTCGGGTAGGCCGGAAGTAAACGGCTGGGGAAATTGGACGGTCTAGCCTTCTGATTAGCTTCACCGCTGTCTCGGTGGAGTTTAATAAACTCGGCCATCTGCTCCTTGCTATCTAAAATATAACAGGACACTGGCGTAAATTCTCAACCGTCTCACACTTCTGTTTAATCAGTTTTCTGCTTGACGTTTATTCAGCTGTATGAAAATCCTGGGGGATGAATAAAGTTTTATTTTATCTAATCTAATCTAATAACTTTAATCTCAGCCAAACCGATTTACTCACGAACAAATAAAACACTGAAAAAAGCCCAACAATAACATTTTTAGGTTATTGTTGGGCTGGTGGGTAGCAGATGCTCCGAAAACGTCGAAGCACTTTTGCAAATATGCGATATCTTGATAAACCGAGCAGATATTTGATGTTTACACAGCTACTTTCTTGCCTGAAAATATGTTAAAAGTTTATTTTGTGACCCAGAAAGATTAGTAACAGTAATTTTAAAACTTAGTAGCGGCCGCCATTATTGGAAACTGGAGTTTGGCTGGGCCGCGCTATGAATTCTGGGATATGGTAGGCCACGAAGGACACACCCGACCCACCCTTCAAATTTGGGGAAAAGGAGTTTCTGTCTACGAATTTGGACAGTCTTCGGCGCATCGCTGTGACGTAATCGGTCTACAAATGCGGCCTCAGGAAGATGCAGCCCATGAATTTGGACACGACCATGGACGATGCGACAGTACCCCAAAAATGAAACCAAAACGTCTCTATCGCCCCCTAGTGTCTGGCTGCAGTGTAGGTCATAACCCCCCCCATGTTAGCAGATGGAAATTAATTAATTCACCTTAGATAATTTTTCTTTTCTTTTCAATAGTTCTCATCACGCTGATTTATGTCCAAGGGGTCTCCTTTCCCATAAGTCTGATTCTAATTTCTAGTGCGGTGATGTTAAATTGGGGTGTAACGCAAGGGCGTACATTTGGCATGGATGGAAGGGACATGTCCCCACCAATAATTTGATCTTCTCAAGTAAAGACAGTAAATTAAAACAAAAACGATAGAAAGAAGAAGAAAAAAACAGCGATCAATCAACGTCTCATTCACCCAGCGGTGCAGAAAGAGTTAAATTATGTTCTCTACTGGAGTCCTACCTCATGTGACAAATATGGATAATGTGATTGGCTGCGCCTTACAGGGAGCTCTGTTTAGTTTTAGCAGCGGCAAGCCTGCACTGCGAGGAGGAGAGGAGGATGGGCAATAACGCGTTACAAGTAACGCGTTACTGCCCATCTCTGGATATAAGAAAGTATTTTTCAAAAAGAAACCTGTAAGTCATTTAAAGTCAAGTTTCACTCATAAAATGTGTCCGTCATAAAAACGTTACAGGCTATGCTAGGCCATACATGTGAACCCTCCCGATTTTTCTGTGAGAATCCCGAATTTCAGTGCCCTTCCCGAAAATCTCCCACAGCCACACCATTCTCCCCATTTTCTCCTGAATTCCACCCGGACAACAAAATTGAAAAACCATATCCCAGCTTGGCCCAGCCTATGCTGTGGTGTGCTGGGGGAGCAGCACAGCAAAGAAGGACTCATCCAGGCTGGAGAAACTGATCAGGAGGGCTAGCTCTGTGGTCGGCATGAAGCTGGACACTCTGGTGACAGTGGCAGAGAAAAGGACACTAAAGAAACTGCTGGACATTATGGACAATGCTGGGCATCCTCTGCACACGGCCATAAACAATCAGAAGAGTCTGTTCAGTGACAGGTTGCTTCTCCCCAAGACAAGAACTAACAGACTTAAAAACTCCTTTGTCCCACACGCCATCAAACTGTTTAACGAGGGGGGAACAACTAAGCTGTAGTGCCTCTTCACCTCACTGTACAATACCTTGTGCAATACTTTTTGTAAATAGTCAACAGTGCAATAGACTCAATACTTGAAATGTGCAATTCACTTGTATTTTTATTTTTTATTCCTATTTATTCTATTTATCCCCTTTGTATATTTTATTTATATTTGTCTCTGTATTTATATATATATGTGTGTGTGTGTGTGTGTGTGTGTGTGTGTGTGTGTGTATATATATATATAACAATTCTGTAACTGTAACTTCGGTCGTTGCTATGCTTTTTTGGAAGTCGAATTTCCCAGAGGAACCCACCCGAGGGATTAATAAAGTTCTATCTTATCTTATCTTATCTTAATTCCAGTTTCAATCAATAGCTACTACTACTACTACAGCTACTTAGTTTTGATATTACTCTTATTACTCTTTTCCGGTCACAAAATAAACTTTTAACATATTTTCAGGCGAGAATGTAGCTGAGTAAACTTCAAATATCTGTGTTATTGTACTTACATTATAATCAATCAGCTTCCTTTTGTCCGCTTAAAACATGTTTACAGATGGAAGATGTTATGTTCTTTTTAAAATGGAGAAAATAAAATTTAGACTCAGAGGAAATGTTAATAAGTTCTCACAGATGTGGCAGCCTTTTATCATTTACTTTAACTCATTGAAAACACTTACAACAGACTAAACTTTTGAACCATGGGGTTCCCTTTTGTTATGGTTTTGGGAGGGAGTTGATTTTTTAATAATTTTTTTATTTTGTTTGTTTTTTGTTGTTGTTTTCTGTGTGTGGGTTGTTGTTTTTTTTCTTTCTTTTTTCTGTTTTATTGTTATTATCCGAATTTTGATGGCCTAATTTGTTTTGATATATGTCTTTATATCGGTTGGTACTTGCTGTATTGGGCCTGATATGTCAAATTACATGTGCAAAACTTTATAAATAAAGAGGGGAAAAAAACATGTTTACAGAACTATTTTTTGCATTTGTTGCAATCTCAGCTGTCCTCTTGGCCAGATTTCAGTTCAGTTCAGTTCAGTTCATTTTTATTTCAAACATTTAAAACATGTGCCTTCACAATCATTACAAAATATCATTCCATTATTTGTTTGAAAAGGAGTAGGCTGAAGTATTTACTTATTTGTCCCTACCCCCTCAAGTTTTACCTCTCATTCATTTAATTGAAACATATGAAGTAAAACAAAACATAACATGCATGAATCAAAACAAGAAATTAGCAAGCCCCACCACAGTATAGTTTCTTTCATATGAAAAATACAGAATGTGTATATTTGCAGATACACAAGTTATGGAAAAACAACAAACCAAAACAAAACAAAAAAAAACAAAAAAGAACCGCAACACCATTACCAGCTACATTACCGTCCTGGGTTAACCCCGTTTTCTTCATTCAGAATCAGAATCAGAATCAGAATCAGAATGGGTTTATTGCCAGATGTTGAGGTTTACAACATTAGGAAATTGCTGCGGTGCTTCAGTGCAAACAATAAGAATTAAAGTGCTATGTAGAAAGAAAGATATGTGCATGAGATATACATGAGATATATACATGAGAATAAGAATTATGAGTGCTACGTAGAAAGATATATACATGAGTGCAGGTGGTGATCAGTGCCAGACATGAAATGATGCAGTGACACAGCGTAGGGTCATGTGTTAGTGGCGGGGACAGTCATGTGGTTATTGTTCATGTGTCCAACAGCAGAGGGGAAGAAACTGTTCTTGTGGCGAGAGGTTCTGGTGCGAATGGACCGGAGCCTCCTGCCTGAGGGGAGCAGGTCAAACAGACTGTGTCCAGGGTGAGAAGGGTCAGCTGAGATCCGGGCTGCACGCCTCAGTGTCCTGGAGGTGTACAGGTCCTGCAGAGATGGGAGTCTGCAGCCAATCACCTTCTCAGCAGAGCGCACAACACGCTGCAGTCTCTGTTTGTCCCTGATAGTGGCTCCAGCGTACCACACGGTGATGGAGGAGGTGAGGATGGACTCGATGATTGCAGTGTAGAATTGCATCATCGTCCGTGTTGGCAGGTTGAATTTCTTCAGCTGCCTCAGGAAGTACATCCTCTGCTGGGCTTTCTTGATGACGGAGGTGATGGTGGGCTCCCACTTCAGGTCCTGGGTGATGGTGGTACCCAGGAAGCGGAATGAGTCCACAGAGGTGATGGGGGTGTCAGTCAGGATGATGGGGGGGAGTGGGGCTGTGTGCTTCCTGAAGTCCACAATAATCTCCACTTCTTATACTTATTTAAAATTAGGTTTTTATATTTTACTTTAAACTGTTTTATGTTTTGACTGT